AGTACTCTCTCTTGTTTCTAGATTAGTTCTGCACAGTCTCTAAGGTATTGTAAAGGCCTAAGATTTGCGGCCAGACGGGAAAAGTAGGTAGTATTAAAGAAATACAGCAATCTGTTGAATAAATACAGCTGCCATTCAAAAATATTGACGTCCCATTGAATATTCTAGTTTGGCAAAATGCCAAGCAGATTTGCGTGATGCCAGAACTATGTGAAGGGACCGGGATCTTAATCGCACGACTGTATGGGTCTTGTCCAATCAGGGCAGCAATCGCCGCGCGCGGCGAGGCGAAACATGGCTGCCGTGACCTCTCGTGGAGTCCTAACCTACACCCCGCCCCTTCATCCGGAGCGAACCAGACTGTAGCTTTTCACGCGCCGCACTCCACGCCAGGTTGCCTAAAGGGGACATCTGGCTCTTTGCGCCGCGGTTTTCCATTTTTTTTTCGTTTTTTGACCATATTCGTCGTTTCCTGCTTTAATGTATGTCCCAGAATTCAGGTACTGAAGAGAGTTTCACTGAGTTTTGCCCTCTTCTAGTCTTTTATTCAGCAGGTTGTGTGATTATTATTGTTTTTTTTTTACTCTATTCGAATTCAAAAGACATTGTGATATTGATAAGTGATCATTATTTATTTGCCTTCACATTTTTAATGTCTGTAATTTTTGCCACAGTTAGGGGTATAGAAGGGTACAATTTGTTCTTGTTTCTGTGATCATTTTGCTTTCGCTCTGTCACACTGGGGTGTTACTGGGTTGTGATAATTCCATCTGACATTAAGTTGCTTCTCTGGAGTTTATACTGTTCTTTCTATCGTTTTGTTTTGGTGCTAAATGAAACTTTGGCCATATCTCAGTGTTGCTTACTAGAGGTTATTGACACCTGACTGTACAGCTAGTAATAATATAAATCGGCTGAGGTAATCTAAAAAGGCATTGGGATGGTTTTTCATGTGGCAGTTTCACTTAGACAGTTCCAGTTTAAATGTTGTCAAATCAGTGCGTAAGTGAGGGGGAGGGGTGGTGGTATCAACATGTGGAACCTGGGCGACCACAGCTGATGTCTTCCACATCCCTATCATCCACTCTCGACTGTATTTGGAGGAAAGGGAATAATTTAATTTTGCCCCTTGTTCGCGTTAATGTTGAGCTATCTCCGTCTATAAAGAATGATTACTCGGTTCATTCAGCTTTTCATAAAGGTGCATGGTTTTCCATCGTCTCCTGCGTTGCATACCCTG